CAGAGACATAGAGACAGAAAGCGAGAAATCACCCCCCAGGGGGGATGGCCACGCCACAATCCCTTCTCTTCCATTCTCCTCTTGGGATCTTGGGCACGCACGCACATGTGCCCGGCGTGAGTTTTAAGCCACCGGGTCCGGGACACGAACCGTGGTCGACTACGTGGGAGTCCAGCGACATAGCCATTACGCTAACTGCTGGTTCCCATACCCTATTGGTTTTGAAGACAATTGCCAGAGTCATGAAGAGGGGAGAATAAATGGTCTGGAGAATCACCCTGATTTCCTACTATGTTGTTTAGCCCTACATTTACTGAAAACATTCTTAGACATCCCTGCCCCACTAACATTTACAGTAATAAAGATAACCAAGCTTCTTTCTTCACTTAAAATTGCTAGGAGAAAATTTTGTTAGTAAGAGAGTCCAAGACCCAAGGAAAGGAGAGTGAACTGAAAAGAGAAAAATCCAAATAAAGCACAAAGTATTAAAAAAAAAAAAAAAAAAAAAACCTCAGGAACAATAGCAGCAAAAAAATCTGGGCCAAGCATCATCAGCTATCTGGCACAGGCTGGTTTCCATTAAGAATTTCTCCTGGAGACAAAAGAAAATGCACAAATTACTTTAGAGAAGCTCTACAATGCATCTGGAGCATCTGGAGGTTCTGAAAGGCTTAACGAAATCTCTCTGTACCAGAACCTTTCACTTGCAAACCTTTGCTGCAACTAGAAAATGAAATGTCTGGAGCGATTCTTGTCACCCTTCCCCATCTACTCAGCTGGGCAGCCTCCCTGTTGCTGGCCACTTACTCAGTTCACAGTGTGGCGCTGCATCCTTCTTAAGCTGCTGCTTCCCCATGGTGCAGAACTGGTTTGACTTTTCCCAGAGCCGGCTCCTGCCTCTTTATATGCAGACAAGTGCACCTCCCTTGGCTAGATAAACGTGCTTTAGGCTACTCTGAGCATTGGTACACAACCTTAGTAAAGAAACTGGGAAGGAATTTCAAGAGGCAAACCACACCCTCCAAAGCATAATCAGATTTCATCTTTGACCTGCCATGAAAAGGGAAGCCTTCTATATCTGCCACTCCTAGATATTAATTAACAGTTAATTGAGTTGAAAACTTTTATTCTAAGATTTCAGCTCTGCCCTGTTTGGTAGGAGCAGGGGCTGGAGAAGGGCTTGTGTGTACCAGTGGATGAAAGGGGCGGAGTAAAAGGAATTGCACTCCTCAGTGCACCACACCCCTTGGAGTGAGGTTGGTTCAGGCACAGGTATCAGGGGTGCATATGCACTAGGACTCTGCTCCTCTGAGACGTGAGGTGAAACCAATTAACCCCAAGCCTGACAGTCCATCTGTATTTTCCACATGGGTACGTGCAGCACTAATGCAATTATGAGGAGTTTCAAAGTGTGGGTGGAAATGCCGCCCAGTCTATCCCTTAGGATCTGAAGGACCTGTCGGCACCAGCCTGGTCAATCAGTGATCCACAGGCAGACAACAAAGTCATGCAAACCCAGGCAACTGGTGGAAAAGAAAAAGAAAGGGAAAAACCCTTGAAGCGGTGAAACAGAAGCACCTCCATTTTGAACTCTTCTCTATATAGGAAACTTGCTTTCTCCTTTTGCCTAAACAGTGATGAACACTCCTACTGTCTTTGCTAAATAACCAGAAACTCCCTACCCTAAGATGTTCCTTAGTGATATAATCATCAGTTGCCAGACCCCTTGCCCTGAGCCATGAAGACCATTAAGATTCCATTGTGTGTTTTTTTTTTAACAATTATTTTATTTAACTTTATTTTTATTTGACCAGATAGGGACAGACTGTGCCTGTGAGAGATAGAGAGGATAGCGAGAAGGCAAGCCACCAGGTCCAGGACTCGAACCACGGTTGGCCATGTGTAAGTCCAGCGCCCTTGACCACCATGCCACCTGCCGGCCCCCTAAGATTCCACTGTGTTTAAGCAAAGGCCTAGAGATTGTTTACTTGCTTGATCTTGCTCCTGCAACTGCTTACACATAGGAATTGCCACTCCTTCCCCTTGTCACCTCTCCCTGAATAATTACTACTCCTGCCATATCAACCCAAATGTGGTTTTTGCCTTTATAAGCCCCCTTCTCCCTACACTTGGGGCTGTGGGGTTTTTGAAAGACATGAGTTTTTCCCCACCCCGTGTGCCACCGGCTTAATCAATAAAACTCCAGTAAATTTGGCTATATCTGGATATACCCTTATTTCTCACCAATTAGACTATAACACCCTGAGACTGCAGAAAGAAACCCAGGGCAAACCCAGAAATCCTCTATCTGAGAGGAGGGGAGCTGAAAGAATGGGAAAAATTTGCCTCCACAAACTGACATAGAAGAAAAACTGGAAAAGAGAGGTATTGCAGTTAGGTGAGATAACTAGGAAGAAGATAATTGCTGCTTTCAGGCAGCAGGCAGTTTTCTGGGTGTTTTTTTTTTTTCCCCCATAGTGCATGGGGCTCACTGAAGAGAGACAGAGAGAGGGAAAGTGAGAAATAGCCACCTACCACCCAGGGCAAGGGCAATAGCCATGCCATAATCCCTTCTCCAGTCTCCTCCTGGGATTTTGAGCACTCACACACACATCATGCTGGATCTGGGACTTGGATCGTGATTGGCCGTGTGGAAATCCAGTGCCTTAACCACCACGTCACCTGCTAGCCCAGTTTTCTGACAGTTTTAAAGAAAATTTTGGGGTCAGTTGGTGGCATAGTGGTTAAAGGTGCTGGATTCCCACATGGCTGACGGCAATCCAAGTCCGACCAGCAGCTTGAAACTCATGCCGGGCATGTATGCCCAAAATGCCAGGAGAGTGGAAAAGGAATTGCAGCACCAAACCTCTTCTATTTAGTTATTTGGAACATGTGTACCGCTGCTTCCCCAATCGCAGTTCTCTTTCATAACATCCTATTCATGGGGGCCAGCAGGTGGTATGGTGATTAAGGTGTTAGACTCCCACATGGCTGACCACAGTTTAAGTCCCAAGTCTCGCAGCCTGCTTTCTTACCTTCCCCCTGACCCCAGTCAAATAAAAAAGATAACAATGATGAATAAAATAAAAATAATTCTTTTAAAAAAATCCTATTCAGGGAACCAGCAGTTAGCGTAATGGCTATGTCACTGGATTTCCACGTAGTTGACCATGGTTCACGTCCTGGACTCGGTGGCTTAAATCTCACACCAGGCGCGTGTGCATGCCGTGCGTGCCCAAGATCCCAAGAGGAGAATGGAGGAGAAGGGATTGCAGCGTGACCATCCCCCCTGGGGGGTGATTTCTGGCTTTCTGTCTCTATGTCTCTGTCTGGCGAGCACACGCGCCCTATAGCAAAAAACCTCTCTCAAAAAAAAAAATCCTATTCATGGGACTAGCAGTTAGCGTAATGGCTATGTTGCTGAACTCCCATGTAGCCAACTGCAGTTCGAGTCCTGCACCCGGTGACTTAAACTCACACCAGGCACGTGTGCATGCGTGCCCAAGATTCTGAGAGGAGAATGGAGGAGGAGGAGAATGGATTGCGGTGTGGCCATCCCCCCTCACTTTCTATCTCTCTGTCTCTGGCTGTCTTTCTGGCGTGCGCATGCACCCTATAGCTAAAAAAATAATAATAAAAAATCCTATTCATGTAAATTCAGTCTACATTACCTCAGTAGCCGACTCTGTATAAATGTGTTAATATGTGTATCATGTGTGTTTTTTTTAAACAGGCTTATACTTCCATGTTTACTTCCCACCCACTTTCTAAGTATAGGTACTCTTTTTCATGCTTTTGTTTTCTCTAAAACAACTACCTGAGGACCTTATGGTATAGTAGTTAAGGGATCCAGATCCCACATGGCTCACCATGGTTTGATTTCCAGACCAGTGGCTTGAACCATACACTATGTGTGTGTGCACACATGCCCCAAATCCTGATAGGATGGAGATGGAGGAGAAAGGATTGTGGTATGACAATGCTCCATTAGGGGTTACTTTCTCATTCTCTCTCTCTCTGTGTTTCTGTCTATGGGAAGTCCACACTTCCTCTAGCAATAAAACTTTTTTAAACATAAAAAATAAGTAAAACAATTATCTGAAAATAACTCCTTCTCTTTTCCTCTTTACCTGGAAAACTCCTGCTTATTCTTAAAAAATCCATTAAAATATCCTCTAAGGGCCAGTAGCTGGCATTGTGGTTAAGGCACTGGACTCCCACATGACCAACTGTGGTTTGAACCCCAGACCAGTGGCTTGAAAATCATGTTGGGCACATGTCCATGCATGCCTACAATCCCAAGAGGAGACTAGAAGAAGAGGGATTGTGGCCACCCATCCTGGAGGATGACTTCTCACTTTCCCTTTCTCTGGTGAACACACA